CTATATTACTTGGATCATAGTTTTTCTTCACTCTGTTGATTTTTCTTTCTTTTGGCATGGTTGGCTCGGTCATCCTTCTCTCAATAACTTGAAGTCCTTAATTCCTTGTTTGGAGTCTATGTTTGCTTTAAAACGTGTACTTTTTAGTTAGGAAAGAATCATAGGGTGTTATTTTGTCCTAGAGTTGAGAAACAGAGACTTGTTTCATTTACACTGGTTCATTTTGATATATGGGGTCCAATTAGAGTATAAAGTTTGTCTGGTCATTAGTATTTTGTAACTTTCGTGGGTGATTTAATAAAAGAGACATGGTTATATTTAATAAAAGAGAGATTATTTTCTCCATTTTTAAATTGTTTCACAAAGAGATCCAAACTTAATTCAATAAGAAGTGTGTATTTTACGTTCTGATAATGCTAAAGAGTATCTATCTAGAGAATTTCAGATTTATTTTGCTCAAAACGGGATTTTACACCAAACTTATTGTGCGCTTACTCTTCAACATAATGGGATTGCTGAAAGGAAAAATCAACACTCACTTGATGTAGCCCATTCTAAGCTCAGTAATATGCATGGTCCAAAGGTTCATTGGGGAGAAGCTCATGCTATTTAATTAATCAATAGTATGCACTCTTCAGTCTTAAATGGAAAAACACGACATTCAGTTCTCTTTCCTGATGTTCGACTGTTTGCTGGTCGTCCTCGAGTATTTAGGTGTGTTTTATTTTGTTCATATGTTAGGTGCTGGTAATCAGTGTTTGAAAAGTGGCATAGGCGGACTTTTTCAAAAAACAGGTGTGGATAAGGTGGACAGTATTAGGCAGAATCCTCTAGGCGCCCGCCTAGATGCTGCCTTGAAAATATAATAACTAATTTGTAATTATTAATTTATTAATTCATATTTATTAATTTGTATTTACTAAATTATTGGTAATTATTGATTATTAATTTATCAAAAATACTTTTGTATATGATAGTAATTATTAATTTATTGGTAAACCAAAACATTAGTATTAATTCGTAATTATTAGTTTATCGAAAATGCTTTTTGCATGTAACAATAATTATTAATTTATTGGTAAATCAAAAGATAATATTAATTCGTAAATATTAGTTTATGAAAAATGCTTTTTGCATATAACAGTAAGTATTAGTTTATTGGTAGACCAAATGATAGTATTAATTCGTAATTATTAGTTTATCGAAAATGCTTTTTGCATGTATCAGTAATTATTAGTTTATGAAAAAAGCTTTTTGCATCTAACAGTAATTATTAGTTTATTGGTACACCAAAAGATAGTATTAATTCGTAATTATTAGTTTATCGAAAATGCTTTTTTGCATGTAATGGTAATTATTAATTTATTGAAAAACAAAAAGATAATATTAATTCGTAATTATTAATTTCTTGAAAATGCTTTTTCATGTGATAGTAATTAATTTATTGGTAAACTGAAAAGATAATATCAATTTGTAATTATTAATTTATCAAAAATGCTTTTTGCATGTAATAGTAATTATGAATTTATTGGTAAACCAAAAAATAATATTAACTCGTAATTATTAATTTCTCGAAAATGTTTTTTGCATGTAACAGTAATTATTAATTTATTGGTAAACCAAAAGATAATATTAATTCGTAATTATTAATTTCTCGAAAATAATTTTTGCATGTAACAATAATTATTAATTTATTGGTAAATCAAAAAGATAATATTAATTCGTAATGAGTAGTTTATTGAATAATTTATTGGTAAACCAAAAGATAATATTAATTCGTAATTATTAATTTCTCGAAAATGCTCTTTGCATGTAACAGTAACTATTAATTTATTGATAAACCAAAAGATAATATTAGTTCATAATTATTAATTTCTTGAAAATGCTTTTTGCATGTGATAGTAATTAATTTATTGGTAAACCGAAAAAATAGTATTAATTCGTAATTATTATTATATAATATATACAATAAAATAGGGGGAGGTGTGGGGATCCAAACTTAAAAAAAAAAAAAAAAAAATTGAAGGCCGCCTTTGGGTTTGGGCGCCTGCCTAGGCGGTCACCTCACCGCCTAGGTGGCCGAAAGCCCTTACCACCTAGGCGGCCGCCTACGCCTTCTTGAACATTGCTGGTAATGATAAGCTAGATCCTTGGGCTGTCAAATGTGTCTTTCTTGGGTATTCACAATTCTAGAAAGGTTATCATTGTTATGATCCTAGTTTAGAAAAGAATTTTTTTTTGTGCCAGGTTACATTTTTTTAAAATACTCCTTATTTTTCAGAAAAGAGTCATGTGCTTGATACAAATAACTTTTGTCATGCATTTGAAGAAGTCTCAAAAGCCCTTGCCTTCTATGATTCCTCTTCCTATTCCCTGTTGATACTTCTTCTTCACCCTAGTTACTTTACTCCACTGAATCTAGGACATCTACACATCATGATGTATCTCAAGAACAGCACATAAAGGTTTACATGAGAAGAAAAATGCAGGGTGGACATCCCCCACTAACTCAACCACCCACTCAATCATTGTCTTCGCCTAGTGATCCACTTCCTTATTGTGATGATGTTGTACTTATTGCCATCCGTAGAGGTATTAGGTTTTGTACTCAACATCCAAATTCACATTTGTTACTTTACAAATCCGTCTCCATCATGTCAAAGTTTCGCTTGTAGCCCTTTTATCTATTTTTGTTATCAAGAAGTACTTTCTCATACTGGGTGGAACAGAGCAGTGGAAGAGGAGATGGATGCACTTCATTCAAATGATACATAGGAAGTTATTGAGTTATCAGCTGGAAAGAGGGCTGTTGGGTGTTGATGGGTTTATGCAGTTCAAATATCAACCTGATGGCACTCTAGAAAGATTAAAAGCCAGATTAGTAGTTAAGGTTTATAACACAAACATTTGCATTCATTACTCTGAAAGATTTGCCCCTGTTGGTAAACTTAATTCAGTTTGAGTGGTTATATCTATTGCTGTTAACAAGGGGATGGCCGTTGTGGCAACTTGATGTCAAGAATGATTTTCATCAGGATGATTTACAAGAAGAGGTGTTCATGGAGCAACCACCTGGGTTTGTTGCTCAGGGGTAGTCAAATAAAGTGTGTAAGTTGGAAAAAGCCATTTGTGGCTTGAAGTAGTCCCCATGTGCATGGTTTGAAAAATTCAGGGCAATTGTTATAGCATATGGATTTTGGTGCAATCACGCAGATCATTCAGTATTTGTTTGGAAACAAGACTCTAGAATAATTGTTTTAGTTGTTTATGTTGATGATATTGTTGTTACTAGTAATGATCAAGTGGGAATCAGTCTTTTGAAGAGACGTACTAAGGTGTTTTCTCGGAATTGAAGTAGCTAGATCAAAGTATGGCATTAGTTTGTCTCAAAGAAAATATGTGACTGATTTGTTGATAGAAACTGGAATGTTGTGTGCTAGAGCAGTGGATAGGCCTGTGGATTCAAATATAAGATTATTGGCTGATCCAGGGGAGTTGCTTGAGGATCCAGGAGGGTATATTAGACTGGTAGGCAGGCTGATTTATCTGACCATCACAAGGCCAGATATTGCTTTTGCTCTGAGGATCCCCCATTAAGTCCCAAGTCAAGGATTGATTTACAAGCCAAATAATCGTTTAGCCATTTAAAGTTACTCAAATGCTGATTGGGCAGGTTCATCATCTGATGGGCAGGCTACCACATGTTATTGTACATTTATTGGTGGAAAGTTGGTAGGTAACATGGAGAAGCATGAGACAAGATGTTGTGGCTACAGCTAGTACAGAGACTGAAAAGAGCAATGACATGTACTAGATGTGAATTAATGTGGCTGAAAACACTGATGAAAGAAATGGGTTTGCTGTTCTTGAACCTATGAAGATGTATTGCAATAATAAAGCTGCCACTTATTTAGGCACTAATCTAGTGTTTCATGAAAGCACCAAGCATATTGAAGTAGGCTGCCATTTTATCCGAGAGACAGTTGTTAGTAAGCAGGTTTCTACTCCATATGTGAAATCTAAGGATCAGCTGGTAGACATCTTCACCAAAGGCCTTGGTTCTTGAAATGTTTCAAATAATTTGTTCCAAGCTAGGCATAGCCAACATTTGTGCTCCAGCTTGAGGAGTGTCAAAGTCTTTTTTATTTAAATTCAAGTATCCTTTCATATTTTGTACGGGAGGTTTTTCTGTATCATATTTTTTTTAGTGATATATAACAAGTTTAAGAGGTGCGCGAGGGGTTGGTCATGAACCTCATGTTACTCTCTTCTCATGTATCTCAAGTCTCTCTTTTCTCTTTTTTCTCTCTAGATTTTCTGATAGGGTGCCTTGTTTTTATTTTTCACATGGTAAAGTGATCTTGTCGCATCACATTGTAAATTGGAAATATGGTTTTGCCATTTGTTGTGCTTGAGTTGGTCTATACATATGTCTGTGATCTAATGTTGCATCACATTATAAATTGGAAATATGGTTTCGCTATTTGTTATGCTTGAGTTGGTCTATACATATTTTTGTGTTGTATGCTCATCTGATATCCATGTCAGATCTTGGCACCTTGAAATCAGTAATGTATGAATTTGTTTTGAGAATCCACTGGAACTATACTGACTTGTGCAACTACCCACCATATCTCTATATATCAGATTTCTACTTTCTGCTGATTTGTACCTGTTAGCCTGCGAAAGATATGCATAAGCAGTATGGACCTCTACTGCTAGGGTCTATATGCATGTGATCTGTACCCATCAGATCTCTACTTCCAACCAGCATATTTTTGGCCAATGGACTACAATATGTTTGTGTTGGTCATATGTTAAGAAGTCTGTGTTTGCTAAATGATGAGTCGTCCTCATTTTTTTTTCCTGGCCTGGTGGGGCGTTGAGATGCCCAAATCAACCTAGATTTTAAGCTATGCCTGTCAGTATATCTGTTTGTTTCACTTTCTGAATTATTCATTTTCTGTGTATCATTCTCATGAATCCTTCTCATTTTGCAGTTTCAAGACATCAATTGAGATCTGCTCTTCTGTACTTGGACTTATCCTACTTGGGCGTGCTGCTTTTGTATTTCCTCTGTGTGTTTTGGCCAATTATGTGACTGGGAAGGCTGAGAGTCCAAAGCTCACTTTTAAACGCCAGGTTTAATACATATCCGCCCCTCTTATGATACATATTACTATGGGTGTAGTCTATGAAGTTACAAGCTTGCTTAGTATTGACCTTTGTTTCCAGTTTGTTCATTGTCTTTTTGTCTATATTCACATTTGTTCATAGAAATCATTCACTAGAATGTATTGTTATATTATGTGAATATTATCAATGGTCTGTGATAGAAGACCTTAGAGAAGGTAAACCACAGATTGGAGAAGAAAATGAATAGGACTACTATTATGAATTGATTTTGGAACAAAACTAATCATTTATGAATTTGCTTTTTTCTGGATGCAAAATGAATCGAACTACTATTAACATGACATAATGATAGAATAGTTGTAACACTTAAATACAATTGTTTGTAAACCTCTTTAATAATTTCCCCTACCTTTCATGACCTTGAAAACTAGAGAGGTGGGAGGGATTGGTAGCAGCAGTTTTGTGTTAAGAGTCAATGGAACATACAAGAATTTTCATCGATTAGAGTTAAATTTGAATCCGTTATATACAAATGGCTGGATTTTATGAGGTACATAAATACCCCGGTAAAATAGTGTAGCAAAATTGCCCTTAAACTAATTAGGAAATTGTTACAAGACCATAGTTGAGATGGAGTGGAGGGTTAACCTGGGATGGCTGAAGCACCGCCTTGGAAGCACTGTTCAATGAGAGGCCTATGTATGGAAGCACTTGGAGGGTGCTTTTTCTTACACATGCATAGAATTTACAGTGATATATGCTGGTCAATTATAAATATGCATACATATATCATATGCATATTATTTAAAGTGATATATGTACGTCAATTATAAATATTGTGTGCGTGTGCATACACCGACCCCAATTAGTTGGGAAAAGGTTTTGACGATGATATATATATATATATATATGTAGGGAAAAGATCCTGTCAACCCACAGCCTAGATTGAATCTGGGCCCAATCCAATGGTCACGACCTCATTTCGTAATTGAATTTTCATTACTTTTATATAAATCCAAATCACTTGAAATTTTGAACATCTATTCTTAAAAAATATTAGAATCTAATAAAAATATTAAAAAAATAATGCAAAAAACATAAGTTGACCAAAATACCCCTGAAACGTTTTGAGGGTATTTTGATCAATTTATATTCTCGAATTAGTTTTTTACTAATTTTACTTAGGTGTGCCTTGATGAGTAGAATGTACATCTAAATTTTCAAATAATTTGGATTTGTAAAAAAAAATGAAAATTGAAATACAAAATAAGGTTGACACCGTCAGATATGCCTAGATTCAATTTGGGCCATTGGCTGACACTGTAGCAG